GGTGCCGAACTACCTCCTCAGCAGTGCAAGTCCTAATGCTTGGCTGTAAAACAGGAATTTTAGTGTCGGCTTTCTTTTCACAAAGATCTAAAAAATGTCCTCCTAGTTCTCATTTAGTACTTTTACAGTTTCGTTACAAAGAAGTTAAATTTGTGATCTAGGTATAATTTATTTGCATAGAAGGCACAAGACGGGAGCCCACTTATTTCCCTCAGAGAGCTGCCCAGCCGCGCACACGTCCCGCCCTGGGCAACTCTTCCCCTCCCGACAGGCGCCCCACTGTAGGGGAGGAAAACGCCTTTGCCTTGTCCTCCTAGGTGCCCTGGCTTAGGCTCTGCTGGTCAGACAAAAGACAGAGGAGCAAGAGAAAGACAAACGATTGATGAATGCACAGTGCATGCCGCACACACGCAGGCAGGGACACTCGGCGGTGAGCAGCTGCAAAGTGCTGGGAACGTGGGCTTCTAGGTCATCCTCGCCAAAGAGCAGCCAATCCGTAGGAGGGACAGGGCGGAGGCAGGGAGTTGGGAGCGGGGCAGCAGCCGGGGAAGGTGAGCCGGTGCTGAGGGTAGTAGGTTTCTCAGCAGCTCGCTCTGCTGGTCGCTGCTGCTCAGGGCCGGGGTTGTCTCCAGTGATGAACTTTGGTCCTTCCTGAGCTTTTACAGATGTCCACCTGCTTTTTTAGGCAAACAGGGAGGACCGAGGACTTTCCTGGAGTCTGCTTCTTCTCAGGTGTCTTTAAATTAACATAATCTTTATGCCAAAGAGGCCGATTTGAGTGTGATGGTCCCGATCCTCTTCACTGCATGTATCTCTCTCTCTGTTCAAGTTGATCGCAGCTTGCTGTTATATGTGTTTGCTGCTCATCCCCTACTCAATCTAATCCTGTGACTGCAGAAATTACCCAATGTTCTTTGTTAATAGCTGAGTCTGTAAAGAGTGTGTGTGTGTGTGTGTGTAGCTCAGGTTGGGAGGCGTGCGATGGATGAGTAGGGAGAAAGATGCTGTTGGAACTTGAAAGGTTCCAGTTCAAAAATCCTATGTTTCACTGAAAAGGTTATGAAAGGTGAATGGTACTGGCTCTCGTGATGAGAATTCTAGCTGAAGAGAGGAAGACGGGCTCAGCATTTGGGGTTACTTTCAGATCCCCGGACGGTGCCAAATATCTCATTTCCCTATTACCTTGCTCTGAGCTCATGTTTGGCTTACCGAAACGGGATTGCACTGAGCAGAATGTTAAGAAGCAACCTCTGTTATTAAAAACAGGGCAAAATGGCTACTGAGAATCACATTGGGATTAGATGGAAGGACACGAAGTTAAGTAATTATTGCTAAATGAACAAACTGAAATAGTACTGCTCACCAAAATGCAGAATACTGAACATTAAGGAGGGATGATGAGAACTGTGACATTGGAATTAACTTACTAATTTCATTCTTCTAACCATAGCAATTACTTTAAAAAAGATATTTTTATTGATTTCAGAGAGGAAGGGAGAGAGAGAAAGAGAAAAACCTATCTTTATTGACCTTCCTCAGTAGGCATGTGCCCCGACTGGGACTCAACCTGTGACCTCCTGATTCATAGGTCAATGCTCAACCACTGAGCCACACCAGCTAGGATAACTACTGCAATTATGAACAGTCATGTTACATTTCTATTTCTCATAGAAATAGATACCATCAGCCCAATTAAGATGAGAATTACTCACACATACTATCTGGGGGGGGGGGGGCTGTTTCTTTGTTTTCCGAGACCCGCACGGAAAATGATAGGTTCCTGAGTGGAGGAGCTGGGGATTACGAAATTAAAGAAAAAAAGAGACCAAGACACAGAAATAGATTCAAGCTGGGACCCAGGTGAGGGGCTGTCACTCTGATGGAGGGACAGTCAACACCCACCACAGACCACACAGCGCATTTATTGATTTCCGGAGGGGGGTTTAAGGACAAAGAAGTTTTGGGTGTGCCCAGGTCTATTCATTCCTCATTCCTGGCACATGGCTAAAGGTAAGAAATCAGTACTGATAATTGTCTCCCACATTTTGGGGAAACACGTTCCCAGGGAGTGGTTCTGTCTACGCCTTGAGTTTAGCTGATGATAATTAAAGGTCATCCAAGGGGTCGTCTACACTATCAGATGAACATTAGCAACAAGTTTATGCCAATGAGAAAGGAGGACATTTTCCTGAAAAGCTGCTTGATTTGCAAATCTCTTTGGGGCTTCTTTTTTTTAAATTTATTTTTTGATTAAGGTATCACATATTTGTCCTCAACCCTCATTCCAATTCCCCATCCCTCCCCACTCATGCCCCACACCCCTATTGTCCTTGACCACTGGTTAGGCTCATATGTGTGCACACAAGTCCTTTGGTTGATCTCTCCCTTTTATCCCCACCCTCCCTCTGAGGTCCAACAGTATGATCCATGGCTCCTTGTCTCTGGGTCTGTTCTTTCATTTCCCCTAGATGAGTGAAATCATGTCCTACTGGAAATATACTTATAAGAATAGAAAATGAGACAAACAATGATGGTTATGCTGAAAGGCAAACGAATCAGTCTGTAGTGAGTTTCTTTCTGGGCCAACAGTTCTTTTGAGACCCAATTTCAATGTCAAACAGTTCCTTGTGTGTATATGTCAGCAGTGATATTTCAGTTCTGGATGGTGGGCAAATGGTGGTAATACAGGTCCAACCCTTACTGGTTTGGTCCTGGGCAACCTGCAGTGACTCCCAGCTGCTGACTGCTAGTATGGCAGAGCGACGTCAGCGTCTTCCATCTCTGGACTGCTTCTCTTCTGTCTTCATGGCTCTTTGGGGCTTCTGAAAGGCTGGCTCTCCAGGGGATCCTTAGGACTTTCCTGAGTCCATGAGCTCTGAGAACTTTCCAGAATTTCTCACACTTGCACATTTTAAGAACAAAGGATTGAGTCTCTGATTCTGCCCTGAAGGGCTCGCTTGACTTCGTGGGGCCTTGTTTCTAGAAGGTGCTTATCGCTGGCAGTGTCTTCTCCACAATCCGGTTCTTAATGCTCACCGTCTCCGCCGCCCCCTCCCAGACCATGGCAGCTCAGCCCCAGGAGGCCTCTAGGTTAGATCGACAGCACAGGCCAGTGTGACTTCCCTCTCAGCTCCAGTGTGTGATGGAAAAGGAAATCAGTGTCTATGGGCATTTAGGAAATGACTTTCGGAAGATGTGCTACCATAGCATGTGTTTCCAGCTGCTGGGGCCAGCAGGGGACCAACTGCTTTGTTTAGCTACATGTGTCACTTCATGTACCAAGTGCAGTGCAGGGATGTGTCAAGCTTTAAAAAAAAAATGAAACAGGTACAAGGTAAGATGGTGGGGGTCACGTAGTTGTCTAAGAGAGACAGCGTGGCCTCCTCCAATAGGAATGTGCTTCTAGAAAGTACTCTAGGATGATCATCTTGACGGAACCACAGCAAGAAGATTGTTATAAAATAAATGGCCACATAGAGACATCCCAGTCCTCTATTTCTTTTAAAGGAACTTTGTGTAGGTCACGGTGATTATAGTCTGCAGTGTTCATGGTCTCTGAACTTTTAGATTAGCTCTTCTTTCTCCGCTCTCTGCAATACATTTAATGGCAAACGTGAAGCTTGTCTTCGTTGTCTCTTACCCAGTCGGACAAGGCTGTATTTCTCTTAAACGCAGTGTATTGTGATGGCGATTATGTTTCCAGATGAGGAGGTTTGTGACTGTTTCTGAGGACCCATTATCTAAATCATTCAGTGCATCTCGGTCCCCTGTCCTACCTTGTCCAGGGTTCTCTTACTATTTTGTCCTTCCCCACATGGAAGCTGGGAGGCTCACCGGCCTCTTTCTGGCTCCTGTTGTCAGCAGATCTCCCATCATCATCTCTGAGGCTGAGTCACAGCGATGACTGACGCAGCACATCCTCCTGGCCTGAGGCCCTGCCTCCAGCATGCAGCTGTAGCTGCTCCTTCTGGTCTCACTCGCACACATCCCCTCTGCTTCTGTGCTCTGCTGCCCATGCAGCCTGGGGGTCAGACCCTCTGCAGCCTATCCTCCTAGGAACTGACCTGCACTGAATTTCCGTCTGGCTCATGTGTATAGCCCTGGAGTTTCTCTTCTTCAAACCCTTTCAACTAATATATTTACTAACTTCAGAGTGTTGCTAAATAAAACGTTGGAGGATAAAAGTTTTTCTGAAATAAGTTTGTCGAACTGTGTTCTAGCCAGCAAAGGGACCAGGTCCTGGAGCAAGCAGCTGGGCCATGGGCGGTGCATAGAGGAGAAGACGTGCATGTGTGTCCTGGGTTTCGGGGGCTTTTATACAACGAGTGTGGAGAGGACGATGAAACTTATTTGGAAAGAACTTACTTTGGCTCCGGATAAAGGGGCTGGGAAAGTGAGGTGGGGCCGCTCTGGACAGGCACAAAGTCCTCTGGGTTGGTTGTGGGCAGAGTGGGTGGAGTCTAGTCACCAGCTATTCTCTCTGATAAGAGCCGAAACGGTCACCAGGGTTGGCCCAAAGTTTCCGCACAGTCAGGAACGGGAGCAGCATTAGCTGGGTTTGGCCGGAGGCTGCTAACTGGTGAACGGCTTACCTTTCCCCTCCCTCCGTGGCTGCGCTTTAATCAGGACACCTCCCGTTGGTCTCCTGTCCCGGGAGGAACACTCGGACGCCCGTGTGTCCCGGAGTCCTCTGGCTCAGGGGAGGCTCTTGCTCAGCAGCAGCACTCGGTCAGCAGTGGGCCTGTGCCCCTGTGAGCACAGCCTCTGGAAGAGCCCATTTCAGGGAACCGCATGGAATCGTAACCAAACATTAAAACAAACAGGAACTAAAGCAGCAGTGCACGGACACGCACATCGTACACGTTAGGATGCATGGCCCGTGGACCCATGGGAGCTGCCCTGGCCGGCTGTCCTCAGCGGACACAGGCGGGGCTCCGCCCTGCACATGCGGGCCTGGCCGGGCGGCCTGGCTGCCACTGACCCTCTCCCCTGTCCTGCAGGGAAGCCATCAGCCGCGTCTGCGAAGCCATCCCCGGCGCCAAGGGAGCCTTCCGGAAGAGAAAGGTACTGTCCTCAGTGCTGTCTGTCTGCATCTCCGCCTCCGTCCTGGCAGCTTCGCTCGCACAGGGCTCAGCCTCCCTCCCAGGCCTGGAGCCCAACCCTTTTTTTTTTTTTTTTTTTTTGCCCAGGGAGAACCAAAGGCACCCCTTGTGGAAAGGGGAACCTTGCAGTGGCTCCTGTCACTTTGAAAACAGAAAGAGCTTAGGCCCCTCTGCCACGTGGTTGATGAGCTCAGTTACCCCAGACTCCGGGCCTGGTCCCTCCGAGGGCCGCAGCGCAGACAGGGCTGGCGACAGCCGCTGGGGACAGGCCCGCCTCCTCCCGGCCCCGGGCACTCGTTTCCTCCGGGGAACAGTCTGTGGTGGCCCCGGCGCTGGGCTGGTGCAAGTTTAACAGCGCCTCGCAGGCCTGGGGAGCGAGAAGCCACGCTGGTGGTGTTGCCAGTTTCTGTGGCCATTTTCAAGCTCTGACATGACACCCCAAAACGGAGCCGGGGAGGGGTGTGCAGACACCGTGTCTCCTCAGTTCTCACAGGCACCCCGATGCAAACATCCACAACCGCAGAGGTAACCGCTAATCAGACAAAAAGTAGGAAGTGATGAGTTTTAAGTATTTATTGTTTTTTTAATGTAATGTATTTATTTGCAAGCTTACATAATTAATTTTTAATAGCAGCTGTTTTCATGGCCAGCTCATAACATTCCTAAACATTTTATAATTGTCTCTCAGCTGGCACGAACAGCTCTAGGATGCCGCTGCGTCTCCCCATTATACAGAGAGAAAACCTGAGGCACAGAGAGGACAGCCGTGAGGCCCGCAGGTGGTGGAGCCAAGCTCCAGCCCAACGACTGGGCCCCTGGGGCTGTGTTCAACCCCGTGCTCCACCTTCCCATCCTGAGGTGTTTGGACCAAGAGGAAAAACAGACTAACGGGGTTAAGAGAAAGCTCAGCAAAACCCTGTACTTAAGTGCCCAGTAAACACATAAGTAAATTCCCAGTTGGGACCTTTCTGCGCCTGGTCTGCATGTGGGGCTGCCCTCTGTTTCTCTCTCAGTGACCTGAGGCGGGCATGTGGCGGGCGGGGAATGGGGTGGGGTGCGGAGGGGCAGGCTGGTGTTTGCCTCTGCCGCTCCCGGGCTGTGGGTTGTTTCTCTTTGTAGCTTGGGGACATTGGTGACCAAAAGGGCGATGGAGTTTGAGGGAAGGACTTTGGATGAAGGCTCAGATGTGCGGGCCTGCGTTCTGTCCTCCCACAGGGGACTGGGGAAGCAGGATGCCTCCAGAATCTGGGATATGGGAACTAGGAGGGTGTCTGGGAACAGAGCCAGGTGAGTCTTGGGGTGTCCTCCTGGTTCTCTGGGTGCAGGTGATGGAAACAATGCCATCTTCCGGGCTCCGCCCCAGGCAGACTGCCTGCCTTCCACCAGCTCAGGCGGGAGCAGCACGCGCTGGGCCAGCTGCTAGGAGCTAGGGCTGGACGGGATATCGGAGGGGTGAGCTCTAACTGAAGAGGAAGGTTGGGGGTTAGCAGGGACCAGTGTGGCCGTGCCCACGCAGAGCCCCAGGGAGAGGTGCCTGGCTGGCACCAGCCGGTCCCTGTGCCCCGAGCACTGACAGGCCGATGGGCGCACCTGTTAGTGCCGAGCGGAGTCTGCCACTCTGGGCGCCCAGACCGAGTGTTCTAACTGCACCCGAGGACGTGCCACCAGAGGTTCGCGTCCCAGTCCTCCAGCAGCGGCTCCGTGGGGCCCATGACCCTGAGCTGGACCGAGAGTCTGGTCCTGGTGCTGTGGCACCTGGTGGGTGAAGCTGGCTTCTGAGTGCAAGCTGTGTGTGAGTGTGTGTGTGAGCTGCAGGCCTGGCCCTTTCCCCGCTCACACGTCCCTCTCAGACGCAGCGTGGGCTGCCGGGACACTGACCATGCCCCCCCCTCAGTGTGTGCACAGATGCTCACAGTTCCCGGATCTTTATGTCGGAGTCGGACACCCCCGAGCCCCGCAGCTTTTCTGAGCACAGTTTTCTCCTGGGCCTGAAGAGGGTGGGAGACGGAGGGAGCGGGGTGGCAAACGGGAACAGAGAGGTCTCAGCGATGTGGCCCCCATGACTCAAAAGCGAAAATAACGCCGCCTGACTTCACAGCCTCCGAGCAAAGCGCTGGCCAGCATCCTGGGCAAGAGCAACCTGCAGTTCGCCGGGACCAGCATCGCCCTCACCGTCTCCACCGCCAGCCTGAGCCTGCGGACCGCGGACTCCAAGCAGGTCTGTCAGGTGCCCAGCCCCCTCCACACACACACACACACACACACACACTTACACACACACACTCACACTCACACACACTCACACACACTCACACACACACTCACACTCACACATACACTCACACACACACTCACACACACACACTCACACACTCACACTCACACATACACTCACACACACACTAACACACACACACACTCACACACACACACATTCACACACACACTCTCACACACACACTCACACACACATTCACACACACACTCTGACACACACACTCACACACACTCACACACACACACACACTCACACACACACACTAACACACACGCTCACACGTACACTCACACACACACTCACACACACAGTGACACACATTCTTACACACACACACTCACAAACACACTCACACACAAACACACACACACAAACACTCACACACACACACACACTCACACACACACTCACACACACACTCACACACACACTCACACACAGTGACACACATTCTTACACACACACTCACAAACACACTCACAGACAAACACACTCACACACACACTCACACACACTCACACACACACACTCACACACACACTCACACACAGTGACACACATTCTTACACACACACACTCACAAACACACTCACAGACAAACACACTCACACACACACACTCACACACACTCACACACACACACACACACACTCACACACACAATCACACACACAATCACACACACACACTCACACATACACTCACATACTAACTCACACACACACTCACTCACTCAAACACGCACACTCACACACACACACACTCACACACACACTCACACACACACTCACACCTACACTCACACACACTCACACACACAGTGACACACACTCTTACACACACACACTCTTACACACACACACTCACAAACACACTCAAACACAAACACTCACACACACACTCACACACACACACACACACACACTCACACACGCACTCACACACACACACACTCTCTCACACACACACACACTCACACACACACACACTCACACACACTCACACACACACACACACACTCAAACACACTCACACACACACACACACACAAACTCTCTCTCACACACACTCACACACACTCACACACACATTCAAACACACACACACACTCACACACACATACACACACACTCTCTCTCACACACATTCACACACACACACATCTCTCTCACACATTCACACACACAGTCACACACTCACACACACACTCACACACACACACTCTCTCACACACACTCACACACACACACACACACTCAAACAAACACACTCACACACACACACTCACACACACACTTACACACATTCACACACACTCAAACAAACACACACACACTCTCACACACACACACACTCACACACACTCAAACAAACACACTCGCACACACAATCACACACACACACTCTCTCACACACACACACACAGTCACACACAAACTCACACTCACACACACACACACTCTCACACACACACACACACTCACACACACACTCACACACACACACTCACACACACTCACACACACACTCTCTCTCACACACACACACACTCACACACACTCACACATACACTCACACACTCACTCACACACACACTCACACACACACACACACTCACACACACACACACACACACACTAACACACACATTCACACACACTCTCACACAAACACACACTCACACACACACATTCACACACACACATTCACACACACACTCTCAGACACACACACTCACACTCACACACACACACTAACACACACGCTCACACGTACACTCACACACACACTCACACACACAGTGACACAGATTCTTACACACAAACACTCACAAACACACTCACACACAAACACACTCACACACACACTCACACACACTCACACACACACACTCACACACACACACTCACACACACAAACACTCACACACACAGTGACACACATTCTTACACACAAACACAAACACACTCACCCACCCACACACTCACACAACACTCACACACACTCACACACACACACACTCACACACACACTCACACACACACACTCACACATACACTCACATACTAACTCACACACACACTCACTCACTCACACACGCACACACACACACACACACTCACACACACACACTCACACACACACACACACTCATACCTACACTCACACACACACTCACACACACAGTGACACACACTCTTACACACACATTCACACACACACTCAAACAAACACACACACACATACACACTCACACACACACTCACACACACACTGAAACACACTCACAAACACACTCACACACACACACTCACACACACACTCTCTCAAACACACTCTCACACACACTCACACACACTCTCACACACACTCACACACACACACTCTCTCGCACACACTCACACACACACACACACTCACACACACACTCACACACAAACACACACACTCACACACACACTCACACACACACATCTCTCTCACACATTCACACACACACTCACACACACTCAAACACACACACATACACACACTCTCACACACACACACACACTCGCACACACACTCAACACACTCACACACAGACTCACACACTCTCTCACACACACTCACACACACA